TCTGCTCTCCTCCTATGCGCATTATAAATCGAGTTAAGTCTTGAGAATTCCCCAAAGTTCGTAGATGAGATCAGAGGCTATGATTTTGTCTATTGAAATGAGTCGATAGATATGGAGTTAGTAGTTGTGATATTTGCAGGCTATGAAGGTAATAAATGTTAATGCTTTTACTAAAAGCTACTAAAAAGTAAAGATGCCTGCAAGTAGTTAATAGGCTAACAGTGCGTATACTTAATGTCACCCTTACAAATTTCAAAACACTTAAAAATTTAAACATTTCGGAATGTAATACATAAATAAAACAAAAAAGAACTAAAAGTCATAACCAACAAAAACATACCAAAAGATCCCTTTAAAGCCAAAATTCCCAAGCCTTCGACCCCATTGAGTCCTTCTCGACAATGATGGATGCACTGACTGCCAGCCAGTGCCCCCGCAACGACTTATAGCCACCTTCATTCCATCACTAAACCAAAAACCAAGCCGATTTGAGCCTGTTTCAGTGATCTGGAGCAGCCGTCGCCCGGCTCCATGCACCTGTCAATACATTTGACATAAACCGGTCGCCTCTGAGCTTACGCACTGCTGGGAGTTTTGAGTTGGGAGTTTAGATATGGATGGAGTTGGGAGTCTGGAGTCGTGGACCGGGAGTTGGGGGCTTAACTGGGCAGCTGGAATGGGATTCGGATCGGCAATGGGAATGGGGAATGGGGAATGCCTGGCGGACCTGTTGCCATCATCATCATCATCATCATCGCAGCCGTTGTGGTCGTCATCATTTGATGCGTCAAACATGCGCTCAAACGCCTCGATAGCGACAGCGACTGCAACAGCAGCAGCATCACCAGCAGCTACTGCAACTGCAACAGCGACGCGTTGGCGACTGCAGAAAATTTTTATTATTATTATGACCATTTTAGCTACCAAGCAATGCGTGGAGCAGGCAGTCAAGTGGGCCGAAACGTGCACTGAGAAAATAAATAGATAAATATGAAATATAAGAAAATCTTAGTAAAAAGTCACCAATTTTTTATTTGTATTTTGCATTTCATTTATCATAACAAGGAACTACTATCTTATCGTCATAATTAATGCCAAGTACAGCTCCCCCTTTCCATTTTTTCCCACAGTGCAACTGCAATGTCTGAGATGCGTCTGCGCCGGCGCAGCAGTCGGCCAATAAATTGTGACGCTAATGTAAAGTGTGGCAAGCCATTAGTAGAACGAACGGCAGCTCAGTCAGGATCGGTTGTTGAACCCCCGGGACAGCTGACGGGTCTGGATTGTGGACTCTGGAAGCGGGATCTCAAGCTGGTGCCATAGCTATCTGTGTGGGAAGAGAAGAGAGATCTGTGTACTGGGCGTTGGTAGTTGGTAGCAGCGACTGCCACGCCCTACAGCGATTGTCTATTTATACCTGCCCACTAAGTTGGCATTTTTATGGCATCCGCCGCAAACAGATTTCACTTCCAGCGGAAAACGGAAGCGGCCAGTTGGGTTGCACTGGACAGATCGGGTTGGGGCCAATTCAAATCAACTCCCCAGCGGAGGCAACTTCCTCAATGATGGATATATAGTTATTCATACCCTGTAAAGGGGGTATATGGGGTTGGATAAGGAAATAGCCATTCATAAAAGTTAAAACTGTGCAGAATTACTTTTGTATTCTAAGAAGTTTATTCCATTGTTAATAGGTCATTAACAGATTTCCCCTTTGGCAAAGATCTGCTTTATTTTCCTCTTTAAAAGTGTATTATAAAATTCGCTGTGCCCAGGAGGCTTCCTTTCTCGTTTTTTGTAGGCGCGTTGGACTCTCGTTTGTGGTTTCGATTTAATAGATTAATTAGAGGCCACACCGGACCACAGGCCGCCCAGTGATCAAGCAAAAGTAGTTGTCGCCGTCGGACTTCCGTCAAAAAAAAGAAAAAAAGAAGAAAAACCATGCAATTGTCGCAGCAGCAAAGGCAATTTCAGCAAGTTAAAGTTTATAAAGCGCAGCAATCGCAGAGGTCTTCGCCTTCTGCGGTGGCTGTCCAAAATTCTTCTCTTTTTTCTCTTTGTTTGCCCCGACCTCAACTTTAACCTCCATCCTCAGATGCAGAAAACCACAAGGCACTTGATGCCAAGCGATGGCGGCGCTGGTGGCGATGCCGCAGTTCACTTGGAGGAGGAAAGGCTGCAGGAAAAGCGGGTGGCGGCGGCAAGAGGAAGAGGGAGGAGGACGCAACGAGGACAGAACGTGGTTAGCAAATTTATTATGTAAACGGAAATACGGCATATCCTTGCCCAGGCGCTGTCGGCGCCGCAGCAATAGAAATAGTTTTCAGCCCGCTGGTAAAAAAGCAGGACAAAGGACTCCCGATTCGCAGTTAGTGATGCTAAAGGTTTAGCTTACAAAAAAGTATTAGTAATTATAAATGTTTCTTTAAAAAATTCCTTAATTATGTTTCTTAAATATCATTTATTAAAATTTGTATATATTTTTTATACTTATTATAAGGCCAACTCAGCATCTCTGGATGTAAGGAGCTCGAAGGAGCCTGCTCGTAAATCGCATAAATTGTATAATTCTGGGCACTCCATTGCTGTTGTTCTTGTTGCATGTTTGTTGCTTTGTTTTGTTGGCTGTTTGCTGTTTGCTGCATTTTGTTGCCAAATTGCGTTTGTAGGTGACTCCATGTCCTTTATCTCCGCCCATCGCCTTCCGGAGTTCAAATGAAACAATATGCTGCCAAGCCAAACAGGAGGCGTCCAAAGTGGCCGCCCGTCCGATGACAGGGGCGTGGCATTAGTGGGATTAGTGAATTAAGGACCGATGGCGACACCTGCGCCAGGAGTCAGCAACTTTGGAAAGTCTCTCTCTTCGGATTGAATCCCATTTGCCGGCTCAATTAACAGTAACTTAAGGGAATCGGGTTCATTTAAATTCATGAAGTTTCCTTGCCACGTGGTCAGGAACTTTCCGTGGAAAAAAGTTGAGGGGGGAAAACTACATGAAAGGAAAAAGGTCAGAACAGACAATGACAGTAGACAGGACGAACGAGCGTTGACCACAACAGCCGCAGGATAACGTACGGAAAAAAATGAATAGAGAAACAGGGAAAGGAAAACAATTTTATGGAGGAAAAACACGAAAAAATAGTGAAATGGCAAAACAAAAAATAAATGAAGGCAAGAGGAAAATGAGTGCAATTTGATTTGGTCTATGGATTTTGGAGCCAGCTTTGGAAGAAGCTTCATTTGGTTTTGAGAGTCTTAAAACGGCATTGCACTCTTGCTTAACTCAAATCTTAATCTTAAAATTGTTGAAGAAAATCATGTTGAAAGGATGATCTAAAGAGAGATTTCTGTACTACCTCAATAAATTACTTTTATCTTAACATTAATTTGCACTTTCATTTAATTAATATGACAATGTGATATTTTATGAAATTCTGCAATTTAAAGTATAATAATTGGTTTAAAATCAAAATCCCAATCTCAGGACTGAAACGTATGAGTAATATCTTAAAGTGAAATGACTCTCTATTAAAACTTCCCTTCCATTTGAATAGCCAGGGATCGAAGAGGTCCACGAGGTCCATTACCAACTCCTCCTGTCCACATTGGACTCCACTGCTCTCTATCTGGTTGAGGTCACACGAAGGCATCAAATAGGCAAAGTTTTTTTGGTAGCCAGAGCGACGCCTTTGGGCCAAATTTATGACATTGAATTTATGTGCAGCAGGGCATGCCGCCTCTACAACGGCAAAGTGGGCGGGGCAGGAAGTGGAAGTCGGGCAGGAGCTGCCGATCGATTTGGCAGAATTAACATCTAAACAAGTGTCGGCCAGTAAAGATACTCGTGGAGAAAAAGGAGAGCCTAAGAAGCCCATGGAAAAAGCGCGTTAAACTGCTTAACACTTCTGCATGGTCACCCAAAAGAAAATGGAAATGAAAATGGAAATGGAAACTGTGGCCATAACTCATGCGACACACGATTGCCGGGGTAAATTGTCTAAGAAAAGCCAAAAAAGGAAATGCCAAATGCATTAAGAAATAAGCAATTTTCTGCAAGCAGAAGAAGAGGCAAAAAGTAGCCAGGAGATCGGAAGAAGGAGACAGAGAAAAGAAGCCAATCGGGGGAGGAGTTTTCCCCGGGAAATGGTTAAGGCGAGCCAAGGACACCAAGAACTAACCCCCAGCCCCGAAGCCTCCATGCTAAGTAGTTGCATTAAAAGCTTACAACAAAACCTGCGACAGCAACAGACAGACAGGACAAGAAACAAATTTTGGGTAACTCCCTGCGCCTGGGTCATAAAGTCAGCCCCCTCCGCCGACCTGCCCGAAAGTCCTACTCCCCCTCCACACCACTCCCCCTCCACACCACTCCCCCTTCATTACCAGTGTAGCCTTAGTGCCATTTTCCTGGCAGCGACTCAAAAATGTGCTACTCCTTGGGCGGCATTCGGGTTTGCCGCTTGTAAATCATGCGGATTTGTATGCACAGTTCAAATGCTTAAATAAGATCCCTTTAAGGTTAATTTTGTATTTAAAAGTTCATTTTATGTTTATTTTATTAATTTATTTTCGCTTAAAAGATTTAGTAAGATATGGTATTATAAAATATTATTAAGTAAAAGTCTAGCCTACATTAGTAGCTTATATTGGTTAAATTATTATTAAGTATATTTACTAATTTATAACTTTTATTTTATAAATTAATTTTTTTTCAAGAATTTTGAATTTTTTTAAATGTAACGCATTTTTTATCGCCTCCTAACGTCTATTTTAAGAACTATACACACTGATCCTTAAAAGCTGCAATAGAGGACGCCACAATATATACCAAAAGCTTAATCCAATATTGCCACTTCTTTAAAATTAAGTTATTCCACGCGTTGCCATCAACGGCAATATTCAGCTTTTAGCAAGTACACCTACCAAATCTGTCAGCCTATCGTCATCGAACCAAAAACATATGTTTCTTTCGATAATTTCCCGAACAGAGCGATTAATTCGAGATTGGAAAGTGAATAAGAATATACGTGAAGAAGGCGAGATAAGCAAACGGCAAAACGTGAGACTGTGTGCGTCCTCCGTCTCCTCGCACCTAAGTGGAGCGCACTTAAAAAATATTTTGTGGATGGAGTGGAATAACAATAAATAACAAATAATCAAATGCATAAGCAGAAAATGCTAAAAAGCTACAAAGAGAGCCCAAAGTGATAAATAGCGAACGGTGAAAAGCACGCGTTTTCCGCTTTTCCAGCAGCCGTGTGCCAATTCGTTTTGCACATTTCAAGCAGCCGGATATTGTGGAGGCAATGGAAAGCGAAAACATGTGTGCATGTGTGTCGCTGGGATAACGGCGAAAAAGGCGAAAGAGGAGCTAGTGAATTAGCGAAAAACTTGAGCTGAGATCCAAAAATCGGATCTTAAGTTTGAGGAGGACAAAAAGAGAGAGAGACGAAGCAAAAGTTATTCACATACACACAAATACACATACAAGCGCGACACACGCTCTCCCGTGTAAAACCAATACAACAACAAAAAAACAACAACATGCAATATTTGCAAAGTAGTTAAATAATTCTGCCCTGTCTGCGCTTTATTTCCTTCTTCATTTCGGTTCTTCTGGTTTTTTTTTGTTTAATTTCAACAAGTTTCTGTTTCTCGCTTTTCCCTTACACACACACAATCGCACTGTTCTTTTTTCGTTACTACTTCAAAACAACAAAAACACACGGCACACGAACACTAAAAACACCAACACCAATACAACGTCTCGTGTGACGTGCGAGCGCAGAAATTGTCGTCTTTAGATTTTGTTTGTGCACTTTTCGCCATTTCCCTTTGTGTTCCGTTGTTCGCGGAAGAGGAGGGGCAGAAGGAATAAGGAGAGTGGCCGAGAAGCACCTGCGAAAAAGCGGCACGAGATCGCCAGAAAAGCAGAAAATCGCAAGAAGCAAAAGCGACCGGCTCCCCACTCATACTCAAACAAAGCACACACACACATATCCAACACTTGTTGCAGCGGAAGAGGAGAAGGGGCAAGAGGGCGATAAGAAGGGTAGACAAAGGAGAGAGACGAGGAGGAGCAGGAGAACAAGTGCCTAAGAAAAAAACATCGCCCATCTGCTATCAGCGAATACCACTGCAAACGTAAGCACGGGGATAAATAATGGGGTGGAATAGACCTTGAAAATACCCTATAAAGAATATTGTCCATAGAAAATGGGCTGTCTTATTCCTTATTATTTATTATTTAACGTACTCCCAATACCTTCAACATTTTGCCAAATACTAGATAACCATTTCTGAAAACTAGATTTTAGAACTTCATCGGCTTTCTTATCTGCCTAATCCATTTTCGAATCGGTTTTGTATTGCAAAAACATCGATCGATCATCTTTTATATTAGCCGCCTGCCCATAGTCCTGACCAGTTTCCCCTTTCCCTAGTCGGTTGTAAAAAGTAATGTCATAAAAAGTTCATATACCATTCACGAGGGACACAATCAGCACGCTATCCGCGGAGAAAGACCGGCTGATAAGTGATAAGCCGCACGGACAGGCGGTGCAATTTGCCGATGGCCCGGCAATCTCGCATCTGATAAGGCCGGAATCACGATTTTCATGTGCCGCACATTCAAATTAAAGGCGTCAAGCTATAAAATGATATATGAAGAGCTTAGCCTTTATCAGCGATTGTTATTTTTGAACGTGTACATTAATGGGTAAAATACTGAGGGGATCATGAAGGTTTAATTTAAGGCCCACGAATGCGTTGATCTAAACTTTATTTTTCTATTTTCCAGATGGTCAAGGAGAAGCCCAACTCGACTCGTATCTACGACAAGGATGGATTTAGGCGGCGAGCTGCTTGTATTTGTGTGAAATCGGAAAATGAGGCGGAGGTTAGTGGGAATAAAGCATTAATTATTAAAGAAGAGACATCGAAAATGAGATGGCATAAATTGGCTTACCTTAATAGTTATTTTAACAATTTCAATATTTTACAAAATCTATTTTAGAAAGAATGATATATTTTATTTTAATACTTTTTGTTTTATCAAGGTGCTCTTGGTAACCTCCTCTCGTCGTCCGGAGCTATGGATAGTTCCAGGAGGTGGCGTTGAACCCGAAGAGGAACCCTCAGTGACGGCAGTACGCGAAGTTCTTGAAGAAGCCGGTGTTGTTGGCGATTTGGGTCGTTGTCTAGGTGTTTTTGAGGTTGGTATAAGCTCTATCCCGTTCGAATTTATTTTAAATGCGATCCTATATTCCAGAACAACGACCACATGCATCGTACTGAGGTGTTCGTGATGAACGTGACCCAGGAACTGGACGAATGGGAGGACTCGCGGAGCATCGGCCGAAAGCGTCAGTGGTTTACCATCGATGATGCATTGTCGCAGCTTGCACTGCACAAGCCGACGCAGCAACATTATCTGATGCAGTTGCAGCACTCGAAGACACTGGACAACACGAATCGCGTGGTTAACGCCACGCATCCGCCCAAGTTGACCAATACCGCCACTCCAGCCGCATCGCCTACAACGGCATAAAGACATCGGAATGCAGAAAGCAGGAAGAGGAAACCACACATGCACACCACACTTAACCCCGAAACTAATCCAACACACTAACTCTAACCCCCATATACATTTTGACATTTTGCAAATTTACAAATAGACAGGCAGTCTTCTAGATTATGTTGATTAAGCAATACTTATTTCCCCGCATCCCCACACATAGACCCATTTGCGTTTAAGTTTAAGTCAAAGCGTTCATTTATGTCTTTAGTAATTGTATGAGAACTAAATTTATGTGTTTACTCCAGAGCGAGTGAAAAGGAGGTGAAGAAAACAAAAACGCTACTCGATCAATGCTAAGCGATAACTTATATTATTCGAGATCTATATAACACAACACAGATGAAAACGGAAACAAAAACCAACATGTAATAATTTTTGAGCGAATAGCACTTTTTGCAAACACGAAAAAGAAACTAAAACTAGATGAACTAAACAACAAAATCCAGATGTAACGATATCTATTAGATTTTTCTACTCTTTTTTATAATTTACTCAAAAGGCATCTTAATTGATTATTGTAACAAACAAACCAATTGGAATCGGCTTTTAAGAGCGTAAAGAAGATCTTAATTAACTATGCTAAGCGGCCTAAACAATAAATCGAAACCTATTTAAGCGATGACTAACAAAACGATTTCGTTTTGAATCTAACCTTGAAGTCAAGCAAGGATCATTTTTCAAAAGAAATCTGGACTCTAAACTTTAGACTCTCTGACGGACGGACATAAGACTCAAGAAAAATCATTAAAAACCCTTAATATAATTAACAACAGTTGCCTATGCAAGAAATAAAACCCACTGCAGGGGAAATATAAAGATAAACGTTAACTTATTGTAAAAACAAAATGCGAGAAATTAGAGAAGCCAGCAAACAAACATATTATGAACTAATTCAACTACTAAATATGTGCACGTTGTACTTTTCAGAAACAAAAAAAAAATAACAATAATTACGATTATAATATTAACACAGCTAAGGAGAGAAGCATGTTTTCAATGTGATTTAAGAGATACAAGATACATACGAGTTGAACAATTTTATGTGACATTTTTTCGATGATTTTTTGGCACTTCAAAAGCGCGCAACAAACGAAATTTTAATTCAAGCTCAATGGAAGCAAAGTCTGGCAGTTGAATCTATGATTTTATCAATCTATCAATTGAACTTTAGTTGCAAACTAAAGCCGGCAAACGAACTTTATCGGATCGCTAAATTATATCACAAATTGTTGCAATTAAATGATGATTTACAACCAATAAAGAAGAAAACAAACAAAGAATGAGTTTTTATCTTTGTTTTACTTTTGACCATCTGACCATCTGAAAACTTTATCTTTTCAGAAAGAACATCCAAAATAAAATTGTTTTCTTACATTTAGTTTATTTTGTTTTCAAAATTGCGCTATATTAAAACTAAATCCTTATGTTTATAAACTACTTTTTCAGCTGGATTCTTTGGAAGGGATGAGCCTCGATGTAAGCCAAAGCCCTGAGGATGTAATCCGGGATGGGAGGTGGTGTGGGCAGATGGGCACCAGTAGGACGATATCCGTTCTCATCAGCGGTATACTCTAGCTGGATTGGCGATCCATCGGGAGCAGTATACTTCACAGATCCAGTTGCCTGAACACCACCTACTCCACTCTCTTGGGCATCGATGGCATTGGACGTTCCAAATTCCCAGCTGTACGAGCCATCCGGGTTGATCTCATTTTGATACTTAGTGATCTGGGCCTGTGATTCATCTGCAGCTCGGATGACGGCCACCAGGAACAGGGAAATGATTAGCGCCTTGATTTCGAATAAAAAATACCTTGGTTAGCTGATCTATTATAGCTATTATCGCATTTTGTCTTACGGTCTTAAACATTTTGGTGATGATTGTGCTGCAGTTGCCAGTGATTACTGATCTCTAAGTTCGTCGACAGATCGTTTTATACTCATGCCGATCACTGACCTACACCTACAACATCTCTGAACCGGCGACTCTTCGCCATTCCGAATTATTAATTTAATTCGCGCATCTGAAAATATGAATTTGACCGAGTTTTACGAGCGTTCCTCGCTTAATGGCTCCGTTTGTTATCGTCTGTTGTTTGTTTTTACTACGACTTTACGACCCAGGTGCTCTATAACCCGTACACCTGTCTAGTCATCTAAGGTAAAGCATTCTCCTTATCTGCGCCTTACAAATCACAGATCAACGATGCTGCTTCACAATGCCTCTTTTCTTATCTAATCTTGACTTAAATTCATAATAAATATATAAATTGTAAGCCAAGCTTGGTTGTAAGAAAATTATCCAAGCGACTTTTGAATGCTCTTTATTGAATTTTTCAAAATATTTAAATGCAAATGTTACAATTTATACAATCTCAATGGAAATTAATATACGACCTCATTAAGCTATTTGAATCTAATAATTCGATTTTAAAACTCTTTCATTTGTTACTTACTTAAGAGAGTTAAGACATTCCACATTGGGACCATTTACTGATACTGATAATGATTCTTTAACGCCAACTATCAGGATTCAGTTTTTTGACCAACTTATTGTTAAGGCATAAGCTAAATCCATTTAAACAGAAGTTAATCTTATACTTATTTTTAATATATATATTAATTTTTCATAAGCGTATAATATATATACACAAATTTAAACAACTGAGTAACTCCACTTTGCTTTTCCATACCCTTGGGATTAACGAACCCAGTCAGAGTTTCGATCATCTTGGCCTAAGAAATTAGAGTATCCACTGTGGAGGCGCCAAGTGACGATTCGGGCTGTCACTCGATTAGCGGCTTTTGTTGTTAATGAGATGCAAATGCGAATATGAATGCGGGCAAATGCCGGCAGCTCTGTCGACGTTTTAAGCCAAGCCGAACTTGAAAAGTTAACAAAACGCAAAGCATCATCGTAAATTTCTACCAACTGCTGCCGATTTTATATTTCGCATTTAAATTAGATTACCACTCGAATGCTTTTTCATTTTATCCCAAAAGTATACTCTGCAATGTTTTTATTTATGAAAAATTTACTGCTTTCGGGGTTTAAATTAATTGAAGTTTTTAGAACAGAAAACTGATATGTAAATATTGACAAAATGAACAGAAAAATAATAACTACCAAGAAACTGACTTTTTCAAGAGGTAGGCTTTTTATGTGGTTAATTTTTCAGTAAGATAAATCTTAATAGTAAGAATATTAATGTTCCTGCCGTTTTAATAACACTTTCATTAGGAATTCATTTTTTGAGTGATGTATTAAAATGTTTTATTTTTTATGAGATGCCTAATTCAATGGATGACATTTTTATGGAGATATATCATTGTACAGTGCGTCATATTCACCAAATAGGTTAAACATTTCATGAGGTACAAATTTATATGTGGCAAAGTTGTTCCGATTTCAATCATGATGAGTGCGTTCTACCGTTTTTTGTCTACTTATATTTATATGAAGAAATTTTCCCACGGTCAAATTTCCGTGTGGTGAAATTATCATGGGGTAAAAAAATCAAGTTAGGAAATTTGTATAAAAGGTTATTTAAAAAATTTTCTTTTAAACTTTTCGTTTATTTCAACATTCTTAGAAATCGTAATAAAGCTTTCAAATCACACAAGAGTTTCTATACGCTTAACCCTGGAACTGATAGCGGTTGTACTTTTGGGGCTCGACGTACTGGGGATGGGTGCGGATGTACTCCAGGCTCTTCAGGATGGCAACTGGGATTGGGGGAGGAGTTGGCAGCAGAGCTCCCTGGGGCTGGTAGCCGTTCTCATCGGCCAGGTAGGAGATCTGGACGAGCTGACCCTCGGGCGAGTAATAGGAGTAGCCTCCGGTGGCGTGGTGTCCTCCGATTCCAGACTCCTGGGCGGCGATTCCGTTGCTGGTCTCGTACTGGAAGTTGTAAGGACCCTGGGGATCGATATCGGCACCTTGCTTGGTGATGTAGGCAGCACCATCCTGGTTGTAGGTGGCAGCGGCGTAGGCGCAGGCCAAGAGGGCGGAAGCGACGAGCATCTTTAAAGATCAAGACGTAAATGCAATTGTCTTTTACTGAGCTTTATGAATAATTTGTTTGACGTTTTAAGTAATCCTTTGGGTTTTATTTTATTTAGATATCCTTTGCTTTACTTACGTAGCGGAACATCTTGATGAATTGAAGGAGTGCGTGTGCCTGAGACTAAGAGACGACTCTGAATGATGAGTCTGTAGCAGACTGCTAATGTTTTTATAGGAATTCTCGATGCGAAACCCGATCCACCTAAACAACTTTTACGGCCGACTGCAGGAAACTCATCTGAATAACAATGGCCAAACTCGAAATTGGCCAAAACTAGAGCGCCACGAGCGGCTCAAAATGGTAAAGATCCACGCACTCGCCGATACTTCGGCTCATGAATTTTACGTCATTAAAAGCAACGACAACAAACCTGAAATGACGTAAAAATGATTTAAATTTATTCATATTTTTTCACAGCTTCCAATTAAGTTTAGAAGATGGTAAATTACTTATTATAGAACATTGTTTATAAAGTTTTCGTTTATTTAATTTTATAGGAACTTCTTAGGTATTCGTAAAGCTTCTTTTAAAGTGGTTTTTGGTCTCTAAATTGTAAAATAAAAGCAAAATTTAAAGTGAACTACGTAGGTTAAAAAGATATAGACACTTTTGTATTATTCCTAACATATACACTTTATTATTCCTTCATGATTAGGTGCGTTCACTTTGGAAAACTAAGAAAATTATCATAAATCTAAGTGGACTATAAGTTTTAGGCCCATTACAAATCAATAATCACTATTAAATACATTTTACCCTTTTCATTAATTTTGAAATTTACCGACATTCCATAATCAAAATTAACGCTGTATAGTTTGAATAGCATAATTTATTTCATATCTATCAATTAGTGGTAATATCAAAGCCCATGTAGGCCTTATAACCTAAGATACTTATATTTAATAGTAAAATGAGGAATATTTATTTATGGTCTCCCAATACTTTTGCTGTTTGTAAGCATAAGAATGAGATCGACGCTGCACGGCCATCCTTATAATTTGCATGATTAAGCCCAACATTCTAGCTCTTAATAATGTATTAATAATTTTAAAGTTCTCAGCAGTCCTACGGATATACGCAGAGATTGATGATCGATGATTGATTTTTTAATGCACAATATGATTTACGATGTACAAATATAAAAATGATAAAGTTTTACAATATGATATTCCTACCGGCATGTATTAAAAATAAGATTTTAAACGATATATACAAAAATAATAAGCCTTTACTGAAATTCTTTATCAGATTATAAGCTTTGCGTGTATAATTTTAGAAGCCAAAAGATAAAGAGTTTCATAATTTTTCGTTTCCAACTTTTTTGTTTATTTCAACCGCACAATAACATTCTTAAAAATCTTAATAAAGCTTTCAAATCACATTTGACTTTCTGTACTGCTTAACCGGCGAAGGACTTCCTGTTGAGGAAGTTGCGCTGTTGGGGCTCAACGTACTGGGGATGGGTGCGGATGTACTCCAAGCTCTTCAGGATGGCAACTGGGATTGGGGGAGGAGTTGGCAGGAGAGCTCCCTGGGGCTGGTAGCCGTTCTCATCGGCCAGGTAGGAGATCTGGACGAGCTCACCCTCGGGCGAGTAGTAGGAGTAGCCTCCGGTGGCATGGTGTCCTCCGATTCCAGACTCCTGGGCGGCGATTCCGTTGCTGGTCTCGTACTGGTACTTGTAAGGACCCTCGGGCTGGATATCGGCATCTTGCTTGGTGATGTAGGCAGCGCCATCCTGGTTGTAGGTGGCAGCGGCGTAGGCGCAGGCCAAGAAGGCGGAAGCGACGAGCATCTATTGAAAAAGGAGGGTCACATGTTAGGGAAGAAATACCATATAAAAAAGTGCTAAACAATTTTTCAATTATGAGTTTTATGGCTTTTATAATTTATGAATTCAATTTGAAGCTGAGTTTTTGTCACTAAATATCCTTTTGACTTACGTAGCGGAACATCTTTGCTGGAGTGGAGTGCGTGTGTCTAAGACTGAGAGACGACTCTGAATGATGACTTTTTTGCAGACTAGCAACGTTTTTATACCAATTCTCGATGCGAAACCAGATCCACCCAAACAACTTTTACGCCCTGCTGCAGGAAACTCATCTGAATGACAATAAAACCAGCCGAAATTGGACAAACTAGAGCGCCAAGAGCGGCTAAAGAGTTGAAGAGCTAGAGAGCCACGACTAGTTGAAAATTCGACTCTTCGAATTCCTAATCATGTCAAGTACAACTAAGTTGAAAATATAAGCAGTAAGTATATATCTATAAGTAAATATATATAATATTATATGTATAATATATATTATATATATCTATAAATAAATAAAATGAATAAGAGGTATTTTATCAGTCTTATCATCATATAAACAATACCTTTCGCGACTGTCATAAACTTATTATAATGGAAAATCACATAAATTCTATCTATAATAGACAATAATAGTTTAGTTAATATGAAAATTTCACCCATTTTGTTAAGATTTAATTTCGAAATAAGATAGATATTTAGTTCAGGTTCCTTAATTTCAGCATGAGTAAACTAAAACCCTTAGTTAATCTGTCCTAAAATCTTGACCTCAGCTGTTAGTGTGGGCACTGCAAAAAGCAAAACTTTTCGATTAAAATATCGCCCCATGAGGCAATGTCAATGTCGCAGCCAGGTCTGGTTTAAGGTTTGCGATCTAGAGACTTCAGTTTCTGGTTCAAAAATTCAGTTTCAAGCGGCACACCCAAAAAGGCAGTCTTAATTAAATGCATTTGAAACAGACGAGTCTCGTCTCAATACGGTTTTTAGCATAATTTATGGTTCCACTCCGGTCTGCTCAATGGTTTACTTTTCCAGTTCGATCCAAAGATCCGACGATCCAACGATCCCTTCCTCTACTCCACTCATTTGTAATCTCCATTGGCGAGGCGCTGAAATGTGTGCGTTTAACAAATTGGGCCATAAAAGTGAGTTAGTGCTTAATTGATACGCCAAGTGAGATATCAAACTGGATTAACCCGTTAACACCGACCAGCCGCGCCTAATCCGCCTTATCCAAATACTACAAAACGTCTCGTGTCACCAGCGGCACCTTTAATGCGATTTTTCAAATTTCATATTCTAGCACAGTGGTACGCAACCTGTTCTCAATAGGAAGCTTTCAGAAATAATAATATCAAATAACACTAAATAATGACCGGCTTTATGTCTATTCTTTAAAGATCCGATTAGTATAAACAGTTTGATATTTGATATATCATTTTATACACTATACTAAAGAAGATACTAAATGAATGTTTGGTTTCTTATTAGATTAATTTTTATTAGCTGCATAAGTTTATAATTTGCGGACCAGTTTTCACATTTTGTGACCTTGTAAGGTTAGTAAGTATTAAGAACATAAAGAGAACGTTTTGAATCTGATTCTTTGGATTTTATAAAGATTTAAGATCCTGAAAGTAGTATTCAATATGTACGTATTTTTCTGATATTTATCTCCCAAAAGAATTCTCTTAGACGAATGAAATAAAAATAATAATTTAAGGGGAAATATTACTAACAACCTTATCTTAGAAAAGCTTTTCTTAGATCAAAGATGTATCCTTTAATGTCTGATTTTTGCCCACTGTGTTGATAGTTTTAGCGATGTGCCAATAAATTAAATCAACTTGGGGGGCATGGCCTTGAGAAGATATCCGTTCGATGAGAACACGGCGGTCGTAAAACTAAACTTTATGACAGCCACAGAAAGTGAAATCATCCATCTGCCTTATAGGAAATGCTGGCGTTGCGTTTAATTCGAAGTCAGAGTTGTGGGTTTCGGTAACATGGCAACATGTCCAAGACATTTCGAAGATTTATTGATTAGCCAAAAGTTTTAGACAAAATCTAGTGTTGATTTCTGAGAACAGATTGTACATCGATTACGTATTTAGCACCCTTGGCTTTGCTGTCGTCACTAAAACGGGGATCCCCTTAGCATTTTCCCATAATTATGCATATTGCCGAGATACGATTATGGTTATTAATTTAATTCTACTAATTAATGCCATTTTATTAGAGGCTACCTTAAAAAGCGTGGCTCAAAAGTGATTGGATCCCATGAAGCTCAAGTCTTTATTGGCACTCAAAAAAGTAACCTTCCAGCATTGACGAAAATGCGAATAAATTTAAATAAATCAAACTAAAATAGACTTGTATTGGTCACACACTGAAAGTTGTAAATCGATAAAAGGTCACTAAATTTAAACAAGATCCCAAAGATGGGGATAAATCCCAAAAGACATGCTCAAACACAAAAAGAAGTGTAAAGCCAAATTCGAGGTTCCAAAATTATGACATTTGATATATTTGAGTGACTACTTAATAGCGATTATCTTTTGTATTGTGTTCGATATTTAGAAAAAAAAACTGCATCTTCCGAGCGGTCAGCAACACTATAAGCATAAACTAGTTCCAAATATGATATTATTTTTAGCAGATTTATTCGGTTTTCTTGTTTCTCGTTTTCATCAATAAACAAATTGGTTTTGCTTAGAGATGCGCGTCAATGACTTTGGCGGCATCAATATTTCACACCGATTCTGGGCTATAGATATTGCATCTAATCGTATATAATCTCTCTGGTTTCGATTCAGTATTATGCAGATGAGGCGTCAATATTGGTGCAAGTTTTGTCAACCAAATCGAGACGAATTTTTAATTTATTTTTCCCATGCCAATCTTCATATAAAGTGTATCGTATTGCTAATGAGAATTTGTTAAATTAAATGGCTTAAAGCGAAATGCAGATGCCCTTTTGGGAAAATTCACGTTTAAAAATAGAAAATATATAATATATATATTTGTGTAGGAACCATAATTTTTTATGAAATAAAAATCAACTTATTATTGCAAACGAAAAGTCTTATTAATTTTTATTAATTGTCTTCAAGAATGAATAAGAGAAGAATAAAATAAATTAATAATTGTTAATTTGTATTTAAAAAAATATACAATTATATTATTATTGTCAATGAACTATTTTAGTTTAATTTTTCAGACCAGGTCAAAGCATACCAAATTCAATTCATTTTTCCAGCAAACAATATTCAAATCAAAAAATTAAGCTAACATATTCGAACTTAAAAGGTTGGCATGTGTCCAAACATGAAGACTTCATTCATTAGTGTATTAAATGAAATGCAAATTAATTGGACCGAACTCGTGTTCATATTAATATCACTGAAACTGATACATATTATACATATAGTATTGCCGAATATGTCATATTGACTTTTAGCATTTTCCCATAACCTGTTGGCCTTCCGGGAAGTCTGCTATAAAGTGGGTAAATATTTTTATGGCTTTGACAGCAAATTGCGTGATTATTAATGGAGTTTTCCAAAACTTAACTGGCTTTTAATTTATTGGACTGTTAAATTATAGATACATTTCGGCACTCTCCAGATTGTCGATTGAAAGTGTGAAAGGCTTAGAGATAAATCTTGTTCTGACTTTGATTCTTTTTCTAATTTATACCAGAAAGTAGTCCAAAATGTGTTTCTTCTTTGATTTTGAACATTAAAATAAATATTTTATTTTATCTTAAAAAGATTCGAATGGAAAAGATTAAAAATATAATACAGATTATATAAAAAATACTTTGCAGGATCGCTTAAAAAGTGTGACTGTATATTGCTTGAACTTATTTTACTAAAGCAGAGGCAAGGTATATTTTAGTAACTTTTTGTCGCAGTGCAAGCATTTTAGTATGTTTTGACATTGTTTTCTTTGCAAGTTGTGAGCTCTTTCTTTCAAATATTTTATTTTTTATTCTACTTTTTAAAATAAATCCTCCAAAATGAATGCGTCGGATGAGCAACTCCTGGCTGATCTAAGTAAGATGGAGAGCAAGCGCAAGACGGCGATTGTGTTTGAACAAATCAAACTGGATCAAATAAACAGTACTAGAAATGAGATTTATCAAAGAAATGGTATGGAATATCAACCCGCTGAAGTGGACAAGGAGAACAGGACACCGCAAAGCACCAGAGAGCCTATACCTGAAATAAATATAATTGAAATACCAAAAGACCGGCCAAACCCGAGTATTCAGAGGTTTAGGCAGGCTCAGGAAATAGCCATAAGAATTAAGAACAACAATTGGAAGACGCCGCCAATAAGACCAGATCAGTGCAAAAAGTGCCGGGCAACTGTAAGGGAAAGGGATTCCCATGATTGCAAAATTGAAAAGTGCTCTCTGGGATGTGCATGTGGTTTCCTAGCCAAAAACATGGCATCCCTAAATGCCCACAGTTTTCACTGCGCTAAAAAGAATCGCGATTTGGCCACGTATGTGGCCCAACTCGATCCTCTGGCAATTTAGATTGATCCACCGAACGACATCTGAGTAGGTATTTCTTATAAAACGTGGATCATAAATTAGTTGATTTAATTAATACATGTTATTTTCTTAGATTTAAACCAAGATGTGCCTGTTATGCAGTCGAAATTTGTTATTTAGTTTAATTTATATCACCATGCTTGAAATGCAATAGGATACCCTCATCTGTTTAAAATATATTTTAAATTCATTAATTTATTTAAGTAAGGCTTTATCATGAAAAATGTTTAAACTTGGAGTTACATTTTAATTTGATTGTTCGCCACAATAACGAAAAGTTAAGGCTTAAAATTCTTTAAAAATATGTGTATTAAATAAATGATTTTAAGATCTCAAAGAGCAGGCCATTAACTTTTTGTCTAGAACGATTATTCAAAATAAATTTCAGGTCGACACATGGTTTTAGCAAAGTTAACTTCCACAGAGGGCTGAAGTAGTTATTATAAACTAGGCTGGGGCTGTACCACTCAAGTTCTTAAGTAAGCATAATTATTTATATTATTTAAGCATTCGATTGTTACTCCAAATATGTTTTAATAAATTTTCGTATTCAAATTTCAGCGGTTATCAATAGTGCTACTAAATCCCGCCGGAGGGCGCTTTGCCCGAACAGCTGTGACTCTGCTTCTTCCTTACCATTACCCCGTCAGTTAGTTTCTTCCCATCTCGCTTGCTCTCACGAGGCGATATAAAGTAATTTTAGCAATTTCATTTTGGGCCAAATTGCAAACAAACTTCACAAAATGTTGGCTCACAGGATGCAACTTTGGAGGACAACAAATTCGGCGATGGCCCTCAGTTCCACAGTCAGTCGATTTTCCCCACAGGTAAGTAAAAATCGTTTTAAAAACTGCCGGCGACCTGTGACATAACCTGCAAGTAGCCAATGTTTGTGGTCAGAAACTTTAATAAATTTCAATGAAAACTCTTTTTTTTTAGGGTTCCACGGAGAGCAAAAGGGAGCTCCATCTGCAGAGAATTACCCACGGAAGCAGTTTACCCTTGGTCGCTACCCAAAAATGGTCAAGTCATGGACAGATGCGTTTCGCAAGTAGTGGAGCTGCTACAGCGGGAGTCGCGGCCACGAACAGTGGAGAATACATGCAGGCGGTTCCAAAAACAGAACTGGTGGACCTGCCCGACATACCAGCTGCTCCAGTGCCCCCACCCACCGATGGTTTGAATGTAATGGACGTGGTCAATCTCTCGGGTGAACCATCTTTCGCTTCAATTGGCTTAGGCGGCTGGTCGCCGGTGGGTATGGTCCAGAATTGTATGGAGTTCCTGCACTGCACCTGGGAAATTCCGTGGTGGGGAGCGATCGCTATGGGAACCCTGGCTGTGCGCACCATCATCTTTCCATTGGTCATAATAGCCCAAAGGAACTCGGCGAGGATGAACAACAACATGCCGCAGATGCAGATGCTCCAGCTGAAGATGACCGAGGCGCGGCAGTCCGGAAATGCCATTGAATCCGCTCGATATGCCCAGGAAATGATGTTGTTTATGCGGGAAAAAGGTGTTAATCCTCTCAAGAACATGGTGGTGCCGTTGGCGCAAGCTCCACTCTTCATTAGTTTCTTCATGGGATTGCGACAGATGGCAAATACACCCGTGGAATCAATGCGGGACGGTGGACTCTTCTGGTTCACGGATCTGACTCTGGCGGATCCCTATTATCTGCTGCCTATGATCACCAGTGCCACCTTGTACCTGACTATTGAAATCGGAACGGATTCCGCTCGTTTATCTGCCGCTAACATGAACACCATGAAATATGTGCTAAGAGCGCTGCCCATCGTGATCTTCCCATTCACGATGAACTTCCCCGCTGCCATCTTGACTTACTGGGCCTGCAGTAACTTTATTTCACTGGGACAGGTTGCTCTGCTGCGGATTCCCTCCGTGAGGGACTACTTCAAGATCGAGAAGATGCTGACCCATGCACCAAGTGCACTGCCACCGAAAAAGGGATTCGTCGGAGGAATGAAAGAATGTAAGTAAAAAGCTTTTCCTATTAAATGATGGCCTTTTCTGATCAACATCCTTGCTAATTCCTTTTCCAGCCTGGGATAACATGAAGATCTCGAAAGAAATCGAGGAACGACAGCGCCTGGACGAGATTCGTTTCGCCAAGGCCGGCAAGGGTCCATTGGTTAAGACGTACAAGTTCGATCCCACGAAAACGGCAAAGCCCATCTCCGTGGAGCCGCACATGAGGTTAAGGGAGCCGCCAAGCAAACAGCGATAGTTCCTGTCATCCTGTGACCGCCGCCGAGCGCTGTGTCTTGTTACGTTAATTTAAACCTTTAGTCGATAGTTTTTCACTTACAAACCCCAAACTTTTTGCTGCTTAAATATAATTTGTAAATGTACAAACGCAAAACTTTATTGATAAAACTTAGTTTGGAAAGTAAATCATCGGAATGTACCATTATCTAAAATAAGTTGCATAGAAAAGGGTCTGTTAAAAAGGTTATCAACTAAGAATTAAAGTGTTTTCATTTGAGATAAAAAAAAGTGTATTAATAGACACTTAAATATCAAATCGATTGCGGAAAACTATCTCTTGAATATCACTTTTACAATTAACTCATTAAACAGAATTAAACTCAGTTAAATATATATTAGCCAACATGCTTTGTAATCTTTATAGCCAGAGAAAAAGATTATAAAGCCTTTATAATTATTACCAAATGCAAAGCTATCAATCAATTCATTAGTTGATGACCTTGATTTTCAGTTAGCAATAAGTGCTGAAGTACTCAATACCGCTCAAGTAATTCCTAGCAATTTTAATAGGACTAGAATATTAAAATCTCAATTGGACAATCATAATAACCACAAAAAATAACTATTGTTGATAAATAAACAGTAGACAACTTGAATGAGGGACGCTAGAGCCATCAATCAACCATGTTTGGCGTAAATAGCTTCCGCAATTATTTTTAGTTACTACTGCCAAGTTAAGTAAAACCCAGAATAGGGATGATTTGATACAGAGTTCATAAAGTTTCTCTATAAGGGTTTTCCTGTAGATATTATTAGTAATCATAAAATCAACTGGTTACGTATTTAAAATGAGAAAATAGAGAATCACCTTCTAGACTTAAAGATAAAAATAACGAGCTTCATCGTAGATATAAGATGTATTTGAGACAATTCCATACCACCTAGTTCATCTTCTCATATTGATGTAAAACCAAATTTATATTAAATCAATATTTTACTAAACCAACAGCATATACATATACATATATATATCCAGAATGAGGATAAAATAAACTAATTAACCCCTAGCGGAGATGCATTGGTTTATCACCTCGGCGAGATGTTTGTTCTCCAATGCAGCAGCCACCCTTTCCTTATCCGCCAATTGCTTATTAACCGCCTGTTCGGAGGCATGAGTGCCGGGTGTAATCTCCACGGTGACCTTGAAACGGGGTGGCAGCGATCGCAGCAGCTTCACCCGAATGGAAAGGCCAATCAAAGTGGCCATCGAGCAATGAGGAATCGTCGGGGTAAAGCTGATGTGCACGGAATTCTGGCCATCGCTTATTCGAATAAGATCCTCCTGCACCACATGTAGTTCCTCCAAGGTCAATGGATGTTCCGGGTCATTGATGTTTCTTATGAGATCTAGGATACTATTTTTAAGACCTTTTTCTTTCAATTTTCCTCGTACTTACCAAAAATCTCTCGCTTGTCAAAAGGATCGGTCACATTTTCGTCCTCTTCATTGGCCGTCAACACTCTTTCCTTGATCTTGTCGTAGACATTAGGGTTTATATTCTCGATTTCTGTAGGCATTCTCGTATTGTTTACTTGTTAAGCCTTTATTTACACGTTTTTAGGGAAGTCGCAGAAAGAAAACCAAAATAAAGACCAGTGTGTGCTTACTTTCAAAATTAAAAGGTACCAAATTACACCGTTCTTCTTTTTCGAGGGGTGCACACACTAATTGACCGCGTAATTTATTTGAATTTGAAATTCAGTTTAGTTGTTTTTGTGATAATTAAGAAAATTGTTTAGAATTAAGTTTAAAATTTATGAAGAGATTACACAATTGATACATTAATTAAATTAGATTAGATTTATAAACCCTTTTTAAGGCAATTGGAAGTTAATCATGTCAATGTACGTGTCACAAAAACACCTGAATTGATTTATTTGAATTGAAATTTGATATTAATTCAGATCAATTACTAGTTCAATCAAATCGACGCAATTCTCGAAAGTACAGTTCCAGGAAAACACAGTCCAATTGATATGTTTACCTGTCATCTTACGTAAAGGGCGTAATTACAGACGCTTCGCGATCCATATTTATGTGCTCTTCAAATTAGCTGCGGGAATACTTAACTTAAGTTAACCAAGCTTAACTTTTTTGCAAGCCAGTGCTAACTAGCCGGCAGATGTGGATCTGCGATCCGTGCTTGAGGCTGACTAAGCCTTGAGCCCATTTCGCCGACTAAACTTGCTTTTATTTTCCATATTTTTATTCCACTTTTAGAGCTTTTATTCGAGAAGCCGGTGCACTTGACGGCGATTTCCTCGGGTTATAATTAGCCAGACTTATCAATATCGTCGCCGGGGAAATTTACATAGCGAACGGGTTCCGTGCACTTGGCGTGCATCTATTCGCAATTAGCACCGAATTACAAACTGGTTAACAGCCACTGCCAACAAAGTGGATGTGGAGAAGCCTCCGATCGGTTGGACACATAAAATGGGTTCGCTGCTTTGCTCCCAGCAGCAGTTTGGGTTACTCGTTCAAGCGGTCAACATGAAGTCGGTTGTAAGTTGAGATTTCAGTTTTTTAACTCATAATTATTTTGAGATTACGAAAAGTGAAAAAGAAAAGTTATGAACTTGATATGGTATTTCGTGTTTGATTACACAGGATTACTTTTATGGTTTAGAAACTCTTTCATTTTGTATTCTTTTTGTACTTTCGTAGATTATTCTTCTAGCCTTGGTGGCTTATTGTCATGCGGCGCCTTTGGATGTCAAAGAGTCGTCGTCTGAAACTCTCTCCAGACCCAGTCCAATTAGTCCCGATGTGATTGTCGATCCCAAACCCACTGCAAAGGTAGTCCTGCTGAAGGATACACCTGTGCTGAATCGGGAGAAGCGTCATGAGCCCGAGAAGCCCGATAGTGTGAAGGCCCACGAGCAGATCCAGCCCAATCCTCATGCCCAGAAGCCGACTCCAGCCAGTCCTCATGATCAAAAGCCATCTCCTGTCAGCACACATGATGCTAAACCCCAAGACCACTCTCACAAGCACAAGAGGGAAGCTCATCACGAGGAGGGACACACGAAGGTGCCCAAAAAGGAGGAAGTAAAAGATGCCCCCGAGGTTCCTGAGCCCAAGAAGGAAAAGCGTGAGACGGAACCCAAGCCAGAAGGTGGGGAGCCCAAGGAAACCAGTTACCTGGATGATTTAATTGCACTCTCCTTAGATCCTGTCGAGAAGAAGAAGGAGAAGCGAGAGGCTCACCACGAGGAGGGTCACAAGGATGATGATAAACCTCAGGTGGAGGACCTTTCGCTGCCCCACGCTGTTCCCACTGATGCGCACACCGCGCAGCTGCCCAAAAAGCAGGAAAAACGCGAGACTGTCGAAAAGCCTGACAGCGTGAAGGCCCGCGAATCCCTCCAGCATAGTCCTCAACACGCTGATGAGCTGCACAAAGCTATCGAATCTCTGGGAGCTAAGGTCCCGGAGCAGCGCCATCAGCGCGATATTCCCGTGCCCACGCAAACCAAAGCCACCACCGAACCTTCCACCACTAAGTCGGAAACCGGAAGCACAACTCCATCCACCCATCTGAATATTCCCCATCCCATCCCTGTGGCCGAACTCTTCGAGAAGAACAAGCACGCGGATAAGTCATCTTCCAGTTCCGAGGAAAGCAAGGAGAAAGCCAAGGCCTAAGCTAAAAAAACCAAAAGTTGCTAATTGGACTATCACGAGATTTGTAGTCATCGAAAATAAACTAAAATAAAAATATTTACATGCTTATATAAAAAATGACTGTGCTAATTTATTAACAAATATTTAAAGAAAAGGGAGACTTTTTAACTGGTTTTACTATGAAAATATATCCTCTATCTATCTAAGGAAAAATCAGACATTCAAAATGGTACAAAAATTGGTTTACTTTTTTAACTTGTCATAAACATTTCTTAAGTTACGACTGTCTGGCCAAAGTTTATTGTTTATACATATTGTTATTACATACGCCAACACTAGGGGTTCTAGCTAAAAACTAACAAAGTGTAATATTTTAGAAATGTTAAAGTTCAGCTGTATTTTTAGTTTATTTTGTACCTCTCCTGTAAACACAGTTCTTACTGCGTAATGCCATGGGCTTCCCCGCATAAATTAGTTCAATTTTACTAAGAGCAGCTCGTTAAAAACATTGTACGCTTTCGTAAGCACCTTTACGCTAATTATTTACTAAATATTTATGAATTTCATCTAGCTAACAGTTATGGTATACATTAAATATGAATAAATGAAAGTAAACAACACCCCAATATAAACAATGGAAATATGACTGTTTGACTCGGTTTTTTCCTTTCAATCTGTAATTATTCCCAGTAATTAAGACAATTATAGAAAATTGGTGATATATACCTAAAAAGCACCATTCAAATGCCTTTGTAGGTCCACGATTAACAAATGTGAATGTTAAACAACGTTATTATATAGTTTTTACAATAAATCAACAGCTTCAAGGTAAAACAATGAAATAAAATACAGTAAAACATCCATATTTTATTTGGGGGAAAGAAATATGGACCGATCCTAAAATTGTTCTATTTAAGATAAGATAACATTTAAAAGCTCAAACTACTTACATTTATTCTAGTTACTTAGTTAATATTCATTTGTCTAGCTAGTTAGTTTTTCTTAATAAGATCCTCCTCCACTGCTTCTACTTGTGACTTTCCAAAATAATCATCGGACTTGTAGATCTCTACAGGTTGATATTCCTCTTCAATAAGATTAGAACGTGGCAGAGAGTTTGTTGTCGTGGAATCGCTGGCACTTAGCTTGGCTTTTAAAGGTTTCAAAAGAAGACCTTTAATACTATAATCCGTAACATGCAGTTCTTCCTCAGCTATATCCACCGACCTCTCCACTTCCGTCAGATTTGCACTTACTACACCCACAAACTCCTCCAGGCTATCAATCCTGGTTTTTAACTCTTCGAAACTCTCGCTAAATCCGAGGATACTGCACACATTATTGGCCATCATTCCATTCGACTCGGCACGTACCTAAAAGTAAATAAACCATTAATAAAAGAACTTTTATTTTATAAAAATAACTAACTGAAGCCAGCAATGTTTCAAACTCATCCAATCTGGCCAGCATGTCATCTATATTTGTGCATAGTGGGTTTATCTCCTTTTCCAGATCAGCGCTCTTCAGGATCTTAGCATAATCACTGGAAACATTATTTATATCTGCTTGCATTTTAAAACAGTATAATTTGATATATGTAAATAAAGCAACAATTGTTTTCTCCGACGAAAAGTGTGTGCCTACTAATGGAGGGAAAAATATACAGAGGCGTTAGGTGTTTTATTTAAATAAATGTTTATAAATTTTAAAATAGTGTTTATTATTCAAAAAATATTTAAATTTATGATGTTTTCTCATATATAAGGCCTTAGGCTCACTTCTAAGCCAATTATTTAAAATTATTTTGGCCGTTTGGCTTGTTAGTGAAAGTAAATTCTAACCCAGAAAAGTTGTTATTTTTGCTCCGCGTGTGCTGCGGTCATACTATTTTCTTTATTGATTTTATTGTTTGCTTGGAGGAGCACTCGGATTTTGGAGCAAGATGAGCGGATACCGAGGCATGGGCGGTGGGGGATTTCCTTACCGCAAGCCAGCAAGTTCCGGCAACAACATGAACGCTGTTCCCCCTCCCCCAGTTCTGAATACCCGGGGCTACATTGGCTTCCGTGGAGGTGCGTCCATTTCTGGAGCTGCATCCCGTGGCGGAATTACGGGTGGTACTACTTCGACTACTAAGCAGGGATACTCTTCTTTGGATTCTATTAGTCAATATACCAATGCCACACATCTGGTGGGCAAAAGGAAACACCACACAGATGATGATTACTTCGACGATGATGATGAGCCCCGCGAAAAGGAGCTAGAACAGGCTTATATACCGGCACCAGGATCCCCTGGAGCCCCACCTACTGCAGCCAAAAAGCAAGATGATTCGGATTCGGATGAAGATCCTCTGGAGCAATTCATGGCCGGTATAAATCAGCAGGTGGAGAAGGAAAAACGCCAACAGGCTCCAAAGCCGCCAACTCAGGCAATAAGAGGCGACATCGATGACGAGGACGACGAGGAGAGCTACTATCGCTACATGAAAGAGAATCCCAATGCAGGACTTCGCGACGAGGGATCCGACCAGGAAATCGAATATGACGAGGATGGCAATCCTATAGCACCTCCCAAAAAGAAGGACATTGATCCTCTGCCGCCTATCTACCATTCCGAAATTGAGTACGAACCCTTCGAGAAGAACTTCTATACTCAACATGATGACATTGCCAACCTAGATGAGGATCAGGTCCGGGAACTAAGGCGTACACTAGGCGTTAAGGTTACCGGACCCTCGCCACCCAAGCCAGTAACCTCTTTTGGTCATTTTGGGTTCGATGATCAGTTGATCAAGGCAGTGCGCAAGGCAGAATACACACAACCCACTCCTATCCAAGCTCAAGCTGTGCCCACGGCTTTATCCGGTCGAGATATCATAGGCATAGCCAAAACTGGTTCTGGTAAAACAGCAGCTTTCATATGGCCCATGCTGATGCATTTAATGGATCAAAGACAACTTAAACCAGGTGATGGGCCCATTGGTCTTATTCTGGCACCCACTCGCGAACTTTCGCTACAAATCTACAACGAGGCCAAGAAATTCGGCAAAGTGTACAACCTGAACGTGGTCTGTTGCTACGGTGGAGGCTCTAAATGGGAGCAGAGTAAAGCCTTGGAGCAGGGAGCTGAGATTATAGTGGCCACACCGGGACGAATGATCGATATGGTTAAGATGAAGGCCACCAATCTGAGACGGGTGACCTTCTTGGTGCTCGACGAAGCCGATCGCATGTTCCACATGGGCTTCGAGCCCCAGGTGCGTTCCATCTGCAACCATGTACGTCCAGATCGCCAATGTCTGATGTTCTCCGCCACCTTCAAGAAGCGAATCGAACGTCTGGCTAGAGATGTCCTTACTGATCCGGTGAGAATAGTTCAGGGCGATCTGAACGAGGCAAACCAGGACATTACTCAGGCCGTGTATGTCTTCCCCAATCCTCTGCAAAAATGGAATTGGTTGTTATGTCATCTAGTTAAGTTCCTATCTGAAGGCAGCGTCCTGATTTTCGTGACCAAGAAAGCGGATGCAGAAACCGTTTCCAATAATCTGTTGGTTAAGGAGTATAATTGCCTACTTCTCCATGGTGACATGGATCAAGCGGACAGAAATAAGGTTATCACTCAGTTTAAGCGAAAGGAGTGCGATATTTTGGTAGCCACCGATGTGGCTGCCAGAGGATTGGATATACCCCATATAAGGAATGTGGTCAACTATGACATTGCTAGGGATATCGACACGCACACCCACAGAATCGGAAGAACAGGCAGAGCTGGCGAAAAGGGTAATGCTTTTACTTTGGTTACCGATAAAGACAAGGAGTTTGCAGGCCATTTGGTGCGAAACTTGGAAGGCGCCGATCAACAGGTGCCCGATGATCTAATGGAACTAGCCATGAAAAGCTCCTGGTTCCGCAGTTCGCGTTTCAAGCAGGGCAAAGGCAAGAGGCCAACAAATACTCACACAGGATTAGGTTATAAGGAGAAAGGACACGGTGGTGGTTATGGATCTGCAGGTGGAGCGGATTCTGGTACTAGTGGGTCGGCACATAGTGCCGACGATGGACCCGCTAGCAAATCCTCTTCCGGCGCAGGACCTGCTACAGATCGGTATGCGGCGATGAGGGAAGCTTTTCGATCCCAGTATAATAGCCAATTTCGAGCCTCCAGCGATCGGACTTGGGAGAAAACTCTGCCCGATTCGGGAGTTTTTGCTGCGCCTATGGCACCACCGCCATCATCATCGTCGTCCCAAGGAGCTTCCTCATCGTCCAACAGCAGTAACCCGGAGGTCAAGAAAGCCAAGAAGAGCCGCTGGAATTGAACGATGCGCCCATAGTAAACTTTTGCTGCTATTTGGTTTATTCTCTTCATATTATTTAATGTGTATTTGCTTTTGTTCCATCGTTTAAAATTACAGCTTATGGACTAAATTTAAACATATTATATATAATCAGATATATACCATGTTCATTCATAAAGATTACGTTAGTTAAATACTCGTATGTACAACTCTCTTCCTTCGCAGCCGGAACCAGCGAACAATCGATCCCACAGATCCAAATAAAAATCTTCATTAATTGTAATCATGGTTATGTGTATTTTATTTTGAATAAAATCACATTTGCGCATCCCAACTGCCTATCGATATTGTTAATCGTTAATCGTGTCGTTTTTTTCATTCATTTTCATTAAGCGAGAGAAGAAATCGAACTGGAATATCGAAATCTTGAAGCTAAATTGTTCGTTAATCATTATGAAATATTGTTTTACAATGAAACCACTACGAATTTTGTTTCTTTTTCGCTTTTGGATATACGTGTGTGTTTATATATTAAATTTAATTACGTGTTTTCTTGATAACATTGAGAAGAGATTTGAGATTCATTTAACTACCACATCGAGGCGATTTTGCGTAAATTTTCGAGTTTTCGAATTTTATTTCGTTTTGTTAAGCGCTGAACGGGGAATTAGCTTAGACAAAGCTTAAAAATTTCGCTATATTTGAATATCATATCAGATACGTACATGAATATATATTTTTCGTTATATATAGTTCGCATATATACTCTATTCAAAGACTCGTCGGTGTGTGGGTGTTATACATATATATTTTTGTATATATAAAAATTGGTCCATGTTAACCACATCGTACGAAAAATATCGAGGAAACTCAAAGAAACTAAAAGAAAATTCCGAAATAAAATTAAGTTGTGTGGAAAATAAAACGCAAATTAAATCATAACACTGTAATTTTAGTTTTCAAATACTTTGTTTTTTTTTCATTTATTATTATCATTATTTAAATGTATTAATTAGCTTTGTGTGTGTGTGTTGTTTTTTTTGGGGAGGGGTTGTGTTTTTGTTGTTGCCGCATATATAACATACATATCCATATATACAATATATTTTAGATCTAGCATTAAATTTGATTTACACTTTTAATAGTTTGTTTCTCTCTTGCGCTAATTATGTAGTTTTCATTTGTCACTTAAATATACACATTTATCTTCTGTTCGTTATAGTTAATAATTCTTAATATTTTCTCCGCTGGTCTGTTAAATTTCGTTTATCATTTACCGAGCTAAATCAATTACTTTTTATATGTAGATAGGTTTTAAAAAATAATTAAAATTATGCAACAATTAAAATGTAAATGTTTTCATTTTATAAATGTAATAAAATTGTTGGGATTTCACTTGTATGTATTTTGTATCTCTCATTTTTTCTCGCTTTTGTTTTTCTTTGCTCATGCTTGTTTTGTTGTTGCTGATTTAAATATTTTTATCGTTTTTTCTTATATTTTTAATACTTTTGTAAATGAACAAGAAACATTTTGCAACAAAAGTCTGGGATAAGGCAAACAAAAAATGTAATTTCCAAATAAACGAACAAAGGACTTTCTGCTGCATTTTAAATTCGTAAATTTCATTGAAGGAATTTTCATGCTCTCAACTGAATTGATTGTTTTTCTTTTTTTTTATGGTATAATGACTGTTTGTTATTTTTTTACGCTTTTTTGTATTTATGTGGGTGTGTATTTTTTTTTTGTTTTTATGGGTTTTTTCGTCAGTTAGCTTTAAATTAAATGCCAATTAATTTAATTAATTAATTTTTAAATCACATTTCATTGTTTTTCAACACGGGCAAATTTGAATTTCCGCTTCGATTTCTCATCCAGTGTGTTGTTTGTAATAGTTTATCCATTTTTGTGGTTTTACTTGTTGCTGCTGTTGGTTTGTGTGAGGAAACGAAAATGTTTGTTGAAGTACGCGACTTGCTTCTAGTGCACATTTCATTAAAATTAATAATACTATATACAATGTATGGTATTTTTGCCATGTCAATTCTCCAACTCTCTCTCAGCTTTCGGCCGCGATTCTCCTTTACTTGAGGGCTTGGGCAAAATTTAGTCAAATAACGTGGCCAGCAGGTCGTCGCTGGCATTGTTGTTGCTACTGCCACTCGAGGGCGGAGTGTTAAGATCAGGCTGAGGATCGAGATAGGACAGGATTTCCATGGGATCCACATCCTGCAGCAGCTAAAAGTGATTTAAGATATATACAAATTAGTATTTCATATCTTTAAGATCTTCTATATAGAAATACTTACATTCAGATCGTGAGCGGTATCATTAATGCCCGCTGCCGCCGCATCGAAGCTTTGCAACTCGGCACTTAGATCGCTTTCGCTGAACTTCAACTGGGTCTGACTGCTCATCAGCGAGTTGAGTAGCTGTTCCTGCTGCTGCTGCTGGCTGTCTGCTCCGCCGCCTCCCATACCACCACCACCCATTCGACTGGGCGTTCCCGGCGTCTGGGGCGAGTTGTGGCCCCCGCTGCTGTTGTTGTTGCCGCTTCCATTGCTGCCACTTCCGCTTCCGTTGGCATTGGGCGTTCCCCCACTGATCGGTTCATTGTGGGAGCTGCTAACACTGGGCGGTCCGCCAGGTGTCATCGGATGACTGGCCGCTCCAGGAGTGTGCGGGGTGTGGGGCATCTAAAATTGAGATAGAGAAAAATATTGTTAGCCTTTGTAAATATGTTGAAAATTTTATTATTTTTATGGTGCTTACCTGATCGCTAAGTGACTTTTCCATGGCATTCAGCTGGTCGAGGGAGTTGACACCATCGCTGCCGGCTAAGCCACCGCTGCCATCACTGTGGTTACCATTGAAGCCATCGTAGTTGCTGCGGTTGCCACTAAAAGTTGCAAAAACATAGAAAAATTAAACACTTGAAAATAAAATATATCACAAGGGGACACTTACTGCTGGTTAGCGTTGCCGCCGTTGCCCATCATGTTGCCGCTGGCAATGGAGTTCATGTCGTGCATGTTATAGGGACTCATGGCCTGCGCACTGTCCCAGGTGGGCAGTTGGGTGGATCCCGGCGACATGACCTTGGCGATGTCGTCGCACAGTTCCTGTTTAATGGCCGGCAGGGTGGGGGGATTGCCACTTCCGTTTCCGGAATTGGAGCCACTGCCGCCACTGGGATTGCTAGGAACATTCGAGGGTGGCGGTGCATTTGGCATGCCGCCATTATGTTGCAATGCCCGCCAATTAGCCGATGAATCGATGATCACCTCATCCACATCCGAGTTGCTCAGCGTATTGAGTATGGCCCAGATGTACTGATCAATTTCCAGGGTATCAGTAATGGCCGACTTGTTGCATTCAGGACAACGCCAAGATCCCCTTTCGCTGTTGATCATTAGATACGCCTCCAAATCGAAACACTGGACGTGCTTGCATTCGTGTCCTCGGGCCGGAAGTCGTATCCGGGACTTCGTGATCGGGCACTTCAATGAGATCTTGGCGCACTGTTGACCACCGCCGCCCTGTTGCTGTGAGGGCGTGCCCTCCGATCCGGGATTCGTTTCAGGTTGGCTCAAATTGCGCTTGATCTTCTGCACACTGTGCTCCAGGGGCAGCAAGTTGCGCTTGTGTAGCGTCTGCAGCACCTGACGAACCGATGGTCGATGGACTAGCTGCAGCACAAACAAGTGTGACTGGAAAATGGATAGGCAAGGGATATACATTAGTCAGTTTTAGTATATATTTTAGGTTTAAGGAATACTTACACAACAGCAGGAACTGGCGGTCAGTTGGAGAGTATTCCTTCCGGGTTGGCAGACGGCCTTCAAGTAAAGCGGACGCAGGGCGGTACTGTTCTTTTCAGACCGCTCAATATTCAGAGGCGTGGCATTCGCGGAGACTGTGACGGTGTGCGGCCAATTGGTATTCATCTGGCGATCATCCTGGTGGAAGCACTTCAGCTGCAGCTCTAAATCGGTTCTACAAGTAACAAAATAAATTTATAAATATAAAAGTTTATAATATATTATTTTTTAGTAGACTCACCTGCACATCAGCGTGTTATAAACATTCTGCTTGAGATGGAACACGTGGTTGCTGACCGAAAGGTTGTGCAGCAGGCGGAAAGGAGCCAGGATGATGCCATCGCGCACCGGGAATGTCAGTCTCATTTCTTCGCCTTTAAAAAATAAAGTTAAGAAGTCAATATATGTAAGTACAGGGTTAAGTTAGTATAACTTACTGTTGTCCATGGGTGGCTTAATATCCGGATTTGGGCTGACATACGGCACACTGCAGGCGGGCGTCAACGGAGGCGTGGGATTGCCAGGAACTGGACTGTGCTGATAGTTTTGCTGGAAACTAAAGATACGAGAATATATTATTAACTAATCAATCAAGGTTTTAATCCGAAACTCACCCTTGATTCTGGTAAGGATTGCCGGTGGTGGCCACGCCGCCCGGACCCGCCGGGCACATGCCTCCTGCCTGTTGCATTCCAGCACTTTGGCCGCTGCCCGGATAGAACTGACCCTGATGCGAGCCAGCTCCTCCGACTCCTCCGTAACCAACTCCGGGCATTCCACCGCCGGATCCTTGAGGCATGAAACGCTGCTGGCTCATGCAACCGGGTCCAGGACCCATTCCTCCAGCGGTCATACCCCCGGGACCCATGGGTCCCATTACAGGTCCACCATTGGGACCCATTCCATTGGCCCCCGACATACGGCCGTAACCTCCATTTCCGGCGCCCATGGGTCCACTACGTCCGTAGCCATTGCCAGCTCCACCTGCCTGCATGGGCAGTGGAACTCCTCCCCCGGATCCGGGATGCATCTGCTGATTTCCGTACATCTGCGCCTGTTGCTGCTGTTGCATGGGATTTCCCGGATACATTCCTCCCGCTCCACCCACTCCACCTGCCGCCCGCTTCTGGGCCATGTGCATCTGGGGGTGGGGATAAGGGGCCATTCTTCGCTGCTGTTGCTGTTGTTGTTGCTGCTGAGAAAGACTTGGTGGCGCCTGCTGGGGATATCCACCATTGGCCATGCCCTGCATCTTGGCCATTGGGTTCATGCCGCCCATTTGCTGCTGCGCCGCCTGTTGCTGGAGGGGGTTCATGCCGCCGCCCATGCCGCCACTTCCACCGACTCCCGGTCCCATTGACATATTCTGCATCTGGTTCATAGGCGTCATCTAGAAAAAAAAAACGGTAAAAATCCAATTAAAATCGATTCTCTTGTTGGTGCAAAGGGATTCCCATCGATAATTATTCTGGTTATCGATTACTAATGGTAGAAACAGCAAAATAACTCATAACAAAGGTACTTGGAAGTTAAAAAGAAGAAAATTTCCATGAAACAATTTAAGATGAGAATATTAAATTAAGAGAATTTTGGAGACTGCGGCAAATAATGTCACTGAGCTTGAGCGGATTACTGTCGCTCGAGCAGTCACAAATTTGTCATTTCCCAAGCCGCGGACTTCTGTTTTGGACGCGATTCCAGTGATTCGTTAATGGGTGAACGTTTTAAAAGCAAAATCTGTTTACCGACGCAAATGAATTGTCAACAGCTGGTCATATAAAAATCGTGCCAGTGAAGTCACCCAGACTTTCCCCTTAAACCCTTAAAATATATCCAAAATGGTACTCACTTGATGATGCCTCTGGGGTCCAATGTTGCCACCTCCCCCATAGCCCATTCCCATGCCTTGGCTGCCATTGTAGCCACCTTGGCCGGATCCACCATTCATGTACTGGGCATTCATGTTGCCCATCATGCCGCTGTTTGGTCCGGGGTGCATACCGCCACCCATCTGAAAGATAAAGGAGGAAGGACTTAAAATAATGTTGGACAAAAAACGATTTAAATATGTTTTAAATGTGTAAAAAAATATATTAATTATTATTTAATAATTAGTAATCCTCACCTGACTGTAACCGCCCATTGCATCCATGCTGGACATGTGTTGCTGTTGCTGTTGGTGATGCTGTTGTTGGTGGTGTTGCTGTTGCTGCTGGTGTTGCTGACTGGCAGCAACCATGCCCGTGTATCCCTGACCGTTGGCGTTGCTTAGTCCGCTTAGCGAGGAACTTGCAGAGCTGGTGGCGCCTCCGTGAGACGTGAACTCTGAATTGGGACCGAAGGTATTGTTTAGGCTGCGCAGGCTGTCGCCGCCGACAAGGTCATTGCCCAGCATAAAGTTACCACCGCCGCCCACTGATCGTTGATGTTGCTGCTGTTGCTGTTGCTGGTAGGCCAGAAAATTTTCGCGCTGATGTTGCTGCTGGTACTGTTGCTGCTGCTGCTGGTTGTAGTATTGTTGTTGCTGCTGCTGTTGCAACTGTTGTTGCTGGTCCACGCCGACTGTTGTGGCACCTGGCGGTGAGATTTGGCCCCCGGTGGCTGGCGCCCTTGAGGAGCCCGCCTGCTGGTTCATTTCATCATTTTTCCTGCGAAGTTCATTTAAATATTGATAAATCCATGAATTAGTTGGGATCGTTAAAGTAAGAATATAGCCAGGCGTCTCCATATGATATACAACGGATTGACTCCAATCCACCGATCTATTAGACATATTTAATTTTTAATTCCTAAATTGAGCAAAAAAAGTTCCACATCAAACAACTACTTGACAATTTGGCTGAATGAGAATGTTCCCAGAAGCCAAATGAGAAAGACTTCTAACTCACATGCCTCCTTATTTGATTTACTTTGAAAAATAAAATATGAATACTTTGAAACTAAAAACGGCTTTCGTGAAATTAAAATTTATTCATATTAAAATACATTTAGTATTTCCGCTGGAAATATTCCTTAGTATTACCCTTATCGCTTATCTTAGTCACATTCACGAAACGTCTTGGGTTTTTGGTAATTTGTACAGTTCTTAAAAGTGTGCCACAGATCTGTTTCGGAAATAATGAATAAAGAATTTCAGTTTCTTCCCAGAAACTTGTACTTGTTCTTTTCCGATTCTCTTATCTTGCGAATTGGTTAGTCACATCAAAGAACACAAAGTTATTTCTGATTTAAGTTGTTCTCCGCAGCTGGAATCATTATTCGACCTCCATGGATGATGTCAGCCTAAGGCGGCTTATGTTCGTGATTTTACCCCAGTATCCGCAGCACCCAACCATACACTCGTTCCTAACGCCACTTAAACACCCCTAATGGCCCCCCTCTATTGTCCAACCACCCAGCCATATCTCCATCATCGTCATTGTCAACGTCATTCATTGTAGTATTGCTGTGTGGCAATTGCAATTGCATTTTCCATCTTCTCCATTTGCTTACATATATTTCCCATTGCACTTGTTTCCCCTCGATTTGCTGTGACATTTAAGCCCGAAAATGTCAAATGGGCTCAGGGTTTTAGGTTTAGGTTTAGGTATAGGTTTGGGTTTGCTTTGCCCTCGACATCGCTCCCTTCAATTGTTCCATCTACCCATTGAAATTGTTTTCGCATTCGCTTTGATGGCGCGACTTTTAAGGTAAAAATAATTAAGCATATTTGCCAGGCCAGACAATAACAATATGAAGCATATGAACGCAGTGCGAATGCGAAGCAGAAAAACACATCGAAATCAACTGGAGAGTCGAAGATGTTAATACACTGGATAAAAAATATATTTATTGAAAAAAAGCTTTGAAGAACTTCTAGGAATATGGCAAAGCATGTTGAAATTTTAATATAAATTGGGTAAATATAATATTTTGTTATCAATTTGGGAATATTATATTCTTGCGACCTTTTCTGAGAACATATTCCACCGGGACTAATGAGTAATTTCGAGATTATCAAGAATTTAAACAAATGCTTATTAAAATATTCTACTTAATATTTCCTTGATTATTGGATTATTTTGACAGATCATTATATGATTCTAATATCTAGTTTAGAACCCAATGTTCTTTTTCAAAAAGCTATCTTTTGCAGAGTAGAATTCTAAGCGTTACAACAAAAAAAGTCGCACATTAAAAATATAAAGTAACACGCTCACAATAATTGCGCATCTACAAAAGCCGCTCGGAGCAAACACACAGCGCACAACAACACAAAAGCAAATAAAGTTGGAAAACACATAAAAATAAACAACAACACACAAAAATACAACAAATAACACAAAAAAGGAAAACGTAACAAAACGTAACACCAAAAGGCAACAACAAATGCAGCAGCAGCAGCAGCGGCAGCGAGCGAAATGCAAATAAATGGCACACTAAGCGATTGGCTGATAATCGCATGACGAAAAGCCCGAGCCGGCAAAGTCTACAAAAAGATCGCTGGAGAATCGCCGCGGGGGAGAAGAGAACTGTGAAAGGGTAGTGGGAAGAATCAAGTGGGGGGAAGAATTAGTGGTGGAACTGAACCTGTGATTGCCGCGAGACTGTGACGATAAATTAGCATCGAGCAGCTAGCAATTTCCAAGTGCAAAAACAGAGCGGAGAGGTAAACAGAGCAAAGCGGGTCATTGGGTCGACTGAGAGAGGTGTGCAATGAGACGGAGAGAACATAGGTACAGTGTGCCCAAAGGCAGAGGGAAATTGACAGTGGTCACTTGATATAAGAAATGCTATTTTAGAGATCGTACTTTGAGATCGTACTTATATTTTAAAATACAGATTTTAGATATTTTCAATTTTCATTGAAAACTATCTGCCGAAAAGTCTGCTGTAGAACATAGTAATAACCTGAACTATGAAGAAAACCACCAGATGCCAAGAAAAACAATAAAAATCCCAAAAACCACATTAGTCATAGTGTCTTATCAGCCATATGCACTTAGAAACCAAGTGACCTTCATCGAGTGCTAAGATAAAGTACCGAGAATTATGGAAAGAAGAAGCCGAGATGTGAGATAAATAAACCACAGACTGAAGCTCGGAATCAAACTAAATGCTAAAGATATAGACGAACGGAGAATTATAATGAGCAAACAACCAACTTGTGCACTTGCGATCATATAATCGTCTCATTATGTGACTTGCACTGAGAAAAAACTTGAAGGTTTAGGAGCTTTTAAGGGGTGAGAAGGGTGTGATCTCTGATGACGTCGCATTGCTTTGTTTCAGTTTTCGCGTTCGAGTCGCGTTCTCGTTGTTGCTGCCTTTTGTACTTTGATTAGATATAAATTTCTTCATTGATTAGATAAAAATAAAGCAAAACAGGTAACTCGCAGACGAGTGAGATAGAAAGACAAACCGAGAGAGAGAGATAGGGTGATATGATCAAAGTTTAGAACCACTAAAAATCAGTTCAGAGGCCATCGAAAAACACGTGCTCGAAGATACACCTTCATATCGGAATCAGTGCACGATCTCTGGCCCCTCCCCCTGCTCTTCCTCTCGCCGATTCTCCCGCCTTTCATTTCAGTTTGCTTGTGTAATTGTAAATTGTGCGCACTTTGATTTGCTGTGGTAATAAAAATTATTTCTCATTTGGCACACGAAATGATTTCCGTATGTCAACAGACAGGGGCGTCGTCAAAGGTTTTTACCCAAGGGTTACGTTTCTATATACGTTTTTCAATATTTTTGTTTTTTGTGCAATTTATTTGACTATATTTTTACAATTTATGGACATTGTTCGTGGCGATATGAATTATGGCCCAGACGGCAATGCGACATTCAGGATGGATAAAACATCCTTTTTGGAGGACATGTCTGGTAAACTTTATTACGCTGCCGAAGCAGAACAATCCATCCACAAAAAAATCAAACTTTTCTCCTGTTTTCCTCATCTATTTTTATTGTTATTGTTGTTTGCGTGTTTTTATTTTTTGTTCGATTTGCCTTTGCGTTTTGTGTTATTTCGCTTTTTTTTTTTGGTTGTTTTGTTTTATTTCACAGACGACAGTTGGCGTCATGTAACAAAACAAGTAATATATACAAAATGTATGTGTGCGTTTTTTAGAGGCCATGAAAAATTGTGAGACACGTGCGTGGAGCCAATGACAGAACGATATGTTTGGAATAAGTTTTCTCGCCGTAGTGGGAGGTTTCAATCAAATTGGCACAGGTAAAGAAAGGATTTCGTTTTTTAACTACATATTATAGAAAAATAATTCCCTTTCTTTACTTAACTTAGAGTAACCTTTATTTTAGGACAAAAACATAAACGGGACTTTAAGAAATATTGTAAAAAATATTTCTCTGCCTCTTGCTAAACCAATAACACATCAGCAATATTTGATTTGCTCTCTTTGCCATTGGTGCCCCTTTTGGACTCATCAGTCACTCAAACTCCTCTATATTCGCCTCATTGTTTCGCTGCAGTTCCCCCGCCCGCCTCCCACCGCTGAAATGCGTTTGACAGTTGTTTTTCAAGGGTGTTTGCAAACTGAACCACCGCATCGCTGAAACCACCCGCTGCTCGCTGCACTTTTCGCATACGAAATACTACTACAAAAAAAAAGTACAAAAAATGCAAAACAAAGAATATTTTTTTCGACATTTTCTTCCACTCTTTCCAGTCCAATTTTGAGTTGGCAGTTGTCGTCTGTCTGTTTTTTGCCCCTGACTCTGCTATGGTTTCATTTTTTCCATATTGCCCTGTCAGGGGAGGTTGTGTATGGGTTTTTCGTCCTGTTTACTCGATTTTCTTTTTTTGAGTGGCAAAGGATGGTAATAATTTTTTGTTCGCCGCTTAGTTTCAGGACTTTGTATGCCATTCGAATTTGGACGTCGCCTGTTGGTATGCAACACTTTTTGTCGCCTTAAGCTAACTGGGAAAAATTCTTTTCGCTCTCTCCACCCCCAACCATTTCGATTGAATTTCCCAGCGAGTTTTCCTTGCCCACTTCGATCGCTTTCATAATTCATCCGCCTCGCATAAATTGCAATCAGAATGAAAATAAAAATAAATCAGCATAATAGACTCGACCCCAGAAAACAAAGCAAAAAGTAAAAGAGAAGAAAAAAAGCAACCACCAGGAGCTGGCAGCAACCCTCCGCTCGAGTGGTTTTTTCCGAACCTGGGGGGTGGAGGGGTGAACATAATAAAAATCGAACTGTAAACAGAAAAAAATCAAAATAATAAAGGCGAAGAAAAAGCTGCGGCACAAAAAAGCGAAGAAAAATCGCGCAATTTTTGATTAAAAATCCAATGCAAATAATACAGATGGTCAGCAGGCGAATTTGTGGTGGTGGTGGTGGTGGTGGTGGTGATATTTCAGAGGGATGAGCGATGGGGGTTGTGGCAGATTTTTGAATATGTGCAAAAACATATTCAGCACTCAGCCCCCTTTTATGCGCCGACAAAATGTTTGCCTCCAACTTTGTGCTCGGTTTGCATTTTGCGGATTTGCAAATTCATTTTTATAAATGTTTTGCCGCTTGCGGTGGACAAAGGGAAAATTGGGTGGTTGTCTGTCCAACATGTGGTATGAGTAATATTTGAAATATTCTACCCTCTCCTGCTGCTGTTACTCTATGTATTGGAGTGTGTATG